TTTGATTGATTATCTGTGTGAGATCTGTGTAACCTTGGTGTTTTGCTCTTGGCACTTCTGAGTGTAGGAGACCAGGAAGTCACTTAACCTCCTAGCTTTGGACAGAATAAAATGGTCATTTGGACCCTCTCAGTTTGTTTGTTTCTTGATAAGTTATTTTTACCAAGACATAATTTTAAGCACTTCAAATTTCAGAGGCTTATCTTGTCTCCCACCTAGATTACTTTTTCAATCCTTTGGTGATAATTGTATTATGGATTGAGACCCAAGGCACCAAATAGGTGTTTTCTTCAACCCGCTCTTCTGTAAAAGAGTGGAAACAGAATTTGTAGAAATCATCTATAAATGTATGAAATTATTTGTTATAATTCTAATTTGGCCCTGATGTCTTTGAAATTTTAGGAGACATAATTGTGGCATCCACTTAGCAACTTTATAAGGTCTGTATTTTAGAATTCACCGCTAACAATATAATTCACTGTTTAAATTATGACCAAGCCTGAAATAACTTTGTTGCAACCTACTGAATCCCATTGAGATTACTTGCCAGGACAGATTCAGATGTACACACAGTATGTTTTTTTTCTTTTCAAAAATACATTGTCTACTTAAATATGTCAGTAAAGAACTAATCTACCTGGAACTACTGTTTATTTCAAACTGGGCTGTTCTATATAATTTCAAGCTTGTGAAATACATTTTTTAAAGAAAGGAAACAGCATCCTTTTGCCAAACTCTGTGTTTTTCCCACAGGGACACCATTTATCCTCCACTCATTCTTTAAATCTTTTCTTGGATTTCTGGAGCCTAATTTAAATGTCCCCATGTTGCTGTGTCAGCTTAATATGTAGGTTGCCTTGTGTGGGGGGGTGGGGTGGGAGGGGTGAATGCATTTACCTAATTTGGATACCTTATACAACACCACAGACACAAAAATCATTTCACATCAGATAGAGGCTGTGTTGCCATTGGACTACAAAAGTGGTCATCTCATTTTGGGGGAAGTCCAAATTAAATTTTTCATGCAAAAGCCCTCCAAGTATCTCCAACTAGGGTCAAGATCATGAAGCATTAACACCAGCCTATAATCTTAAATTATATAGTTTGACTTGGTATAATAGCTTCTTAAATATCTATGCTTATTCAATACAGGAATGTTGAATTTTTTTTTCCTTCAAAGGCCTAATGTTTTGGAACAAAGAGGGTGAACATTTTTTGTTGCTTTAAAGCTTTGAAACAGAGGTTAGGGGGAATCTCATTGTCAGAGATGCAGCAATTGTATCAGATGTATGAACTAGAATCAGCTTTTAAAAAGCAAGGATTCCCCTTGGTTTAAATGACTCATATTCAGCAATTTCTTTGTAAATTCATAGATCCCATCAGTTATAGCATGTCAATAATGCTGTACATCTACTTCGTTTAAAGGCGATATACAAATCTTAAGTTAATTACAGTGAATTCTTCTGAAAGTCTTTTAAAACTCTGGATGATTTTGACTTTGAAGTAAATAAATCTGCTGGGAGCATTTGATAGAATTAAATTTCTTTTACATCCATTTTAGCAAGTCAGTGAGAATTGACTGGAAAGATAATCCATAAATGCTGTTACTATGACATGAGATCAATTGTAACTTTTGTAGATTATGTTGGGGTAATTGAACAAATGTGTACATACTACCATCTTTGGCGTCATTCCTTTTTGTGAAATAGTTTTCAAAAAATTGGAAAAATTCAACCTAAGGCATATACATTGAATTAATTCAATTTTCCAATTTATGGAAAATTGAAATACATACACTACTGTCTTTCTTAAAAGAACTAGATCGTAAAGGGGAAGGAGATGAAAAAAAAATCAAGCTGTTAGCTGCAGGTAACTTCACTCTTTTCAAAATCCATATTATAATGTCACCAGACAAGTATATAACCTTTGTATGGCCAAGGGCTCTATTTTCACTTGAGCACTAGCTAGAAAAGTACACTTCAGAGGTGGGGACAGAGAAAGAAGCTGTGAGGTACTCTCACATTCAACTTTACAGTTTGGGAGAAATGTGGGAATTATTCTCTACACTCTCAGATATGTACGTAGCCCTAGAGATTCTGATTGTGCCTGTCTGATGAGAGAATTGTTATCATGGAGTTGATCCTCCTTCAGTCAGCAATTAACTCTGACTAGGTAGACCAACAAACAAACAACCGGGAGAACCTACGCTGAAAATAGTACAAAATATAAGGTTTCTAGGAAAAAAAGGAGCATGTGAAAGGGAGAGATGTGAGACTAAAATAGAATTGGAGTAGCCATTAAGAGCTGGTGCACATGGGCAAGCATGAAGACAAGCACTAGAATCCAGATGCTGGATCATAATAAGACACCAAATCTCTGACCTCTAGTTTACATTTATAGGTGCATGTAAAATACTTGAGAAAAACTGCTGGCAGAAACTGATAACTCTTACTAGTACTAGTAGTATTGGTTTGGCATGTTAATACATGTCACATTAGTTAATTATGGTGGGTATTTTACTCTTGATTGGTGTACTTTCAAACACACAGTTCATTTGTTGTTTCTTATGTTGCAAAATTCAGTTTGAAGTTGGTACCTGCCCCCAAGCCAGGCATTGTATCTAGTCCCTACTTTATGCCTAGGTATTAACAAGTCTAACCGTACTGCTTAGTCCTTTGTAGGTTTATGATATTTTTAACCCTTTTTAAATCCTTTTCTTCAATAAATCCAATGACAATAATAGCTAAAAATATAATTCCTGTGCAACATTCTAAACAATAGCGCCACCTGGTGGAGTATTTTAGATTCTTGCTGTACGATTGAATACAATAGGACCATTTTTCAGACTCATTCAAAATTCAATCATTAGTTCTTTAATTGCCTTAATGCACCCAGAGTGTAAACCTACTGTGTTGAATTGTACAACACAATAGCCTGAATAAATTTCAGATATTCTTATATTTGCATCAGGTTGTACAGACCAACATCTCTACAAATGTCACCTCCTGCAAAATCCAGATTTCAAGATCAGAATAGAGCTGGAAGGGACCTTGAAGGTCTTCTAGTCCAACCCCCTGATCAAGAAGAAGACCCTGTATGATACCAGACAGGTGGCTGTCTGGTCTTTTCTTAAAAACCTCCAGTGATGAAGCACATTCAACTTTGGACACAAGTTGTTCCACAGTTAATTGTTCTCACTGTTAGGAAATTTCTCCTTAATTCCAGATTGCATTTCTCCTTGATTAATTTCCATCCATTGTTTCTTATCTTGCTTTCTGGTGTTTTGGAAAATAAGTTGACCTCATCTTCTTTGTGGCAGCCCCTCAAATATTGGAATACTGCTATCATGTCACCCCTAATCCTTCTTTTTTATAAACTAGCCATACACAATTCCTGCAACCATTCTTCATATGTTTTTGTCTCCAGGCCTTTAATCATCTTTGTTGCTCTTCTTTGCACTTTTTCCAAAGTCTCAACATCTTTTTTTAATGTGGTGACCAAAACTATATCCAGATGTAGCCTTATTAAGGATTTGTAAAGCGGTACTAATACTTCACATGATTTTGATTCTGTGCCTCTTTATACAATCAAGGATTGTATTAGCTTTTTGGGCTGCTGTTACACACTGCTGTCTCATGTTTATCATCTACTAGCACTCCAAGGTCCCTCTCACAGTTGAGCCAGGTTTCGCCTAATCTGTACTTGTACCTTTGGTTTTTCCTACCTAGATGTAAAATCTTGCTTTTTTCCACATTAAATTTCATGTTGTTGGATAGGGCCCATTGTTCAAGTCTGTCGAGATCTTTTTTGGATCCTGAGCTGGTCTTTCTGGGGTGTTGGCTATTCCTGCCACCTTAGTGTCATCTGAAAACCTTGTGGTACCCCACTGTTTACTTCCCTTCATGTAGATGTGGTACCATTAAGGACTATTTGTTAAGTATGGTTTGTCAGCCAGTTACAAATCCATCTGGTGGTGATGATGTCTATGCCACTTTTTTCCTAGTTTACTAAGAAGTAGATTGTGGTCTACTTTGTCAAATGCCTTGCTGAAATCTAAGTATACTACGTCCACAGCATTTCACTGGTCTACTAATTAAGTCACTTTGTCAAAGAATGAAATAAGATTTGTTTGGCAAGATTTGTTTGCTGGCTTCTAGTTATAACTTTATTTGTTTCTAGATGACCAAAAATTACATCTGGATTTTTGTAGCACAGATCTGGCAGTCCTAATTAATGATAACAGAAATATTATTTGTGAGATTTATTTATTTATCTGATTTATACAGCCGTCCATCTCAAGGCAAGTGACTCTGGGTAGCATACAACAAAACTAAAACATTCTTTTGTTCTTTTCTGTGAACACTTTAGAAAAACTGTTGCAACTATATCTCTACCTCATTATATATATATATATATATATATATATATATATATATATATATATATATATATATATATATATGCTGCCTCTACTCCATCCAAAGTCCATTTAGTCCCACCTTCTCTTTGTCCCAGTGGCCAACCAGAAGCCTAATAGAGGTTAACAGGCATGAAGAAAATAGTCACCTTCCACTGTTTTGGGGCTACTCATATTGTTCATCCTGTTTGAATATGTGTAAGATGGCTTTAGTATACTGCAGATTATCACAGTTGAGCAGCAGGAAAATTAAAATAGCAGGGAGGAATATATCAGAGACAATGGTATTGTGTGATTGTTAACCTTGTGTAATCATAAGTAGTAATTATTATTAATTTAGGGTCTGTTTTATATTTCTTGGAAGGGCTTTCTCCAAAGGAAGACTCTAAAGCCACGTTTTGACAAAATATATTGTACATGTTCCTATGGCAAGCAAAAAATTGAGGTTTTAATCCATTTAGAGTCAATACAATCAGCCTAGACCTAAGTCGTCCAGCCTAATCATCTATCAGTCCTAACCTGTCTTTCAATTTCCAGCTTGATGCTCTTCCCATCCCATTGCTTTCACATTGTTCCATTTGACTTACAGGAAGCTGATATTTCTCTGAATCCACTGGTCTTCCCATCTCCATGCAGGCTGTCAACCACCTAACGTCAAGAATCCTAAATCTTGAGCTGTCCTCCACCTTGCGTTTATGCAGCCATCCCAGGATTTCAGAGTAGGAATTATTCTCAGCCACAATATGGGTGACACAATCACTAGAAAAACAAGCATAAAGGTTGAGCTTCCTCTTGAGCAGGATTTTATAACAGCAAACAAGAAAACTGCCAGATATGGAGGGAGATACAATTTGATATTATAAGAACTCCAAATATATTATTATATTGCAATAATTCTCTTAAACTCAGACTTGGTATCTATTAACAGCCTTATAACTTGCATTTTCCCAGCCATTTCATGCCCACAGTATGAAAAAAAATGGCATACTTACATCCTATAATAATGAACATTCTTAATATTACTCAGTTGCTTTGGGAATAAATTGTGTGCCTGGTCAGTTGCCTTGTGAGTAAATTGTGTGCCTGGAATAAAGCCAGAAATCTCTTTGGGCTAAATATTTTAAGTAGTTCATTGCTAATGTTTTCCACTAAGCTTCAATCCTCAAAAGTAAACCCTTTGTACATAACAATTTGTTAAACATACATGAAACAATCCCTTTGAACTATGTGCTGTATAAAGCAAGCAAGCAGTTTAAATTCAAGCATAACAGTCTGTGCTACACTGATATTTTAGTTGTGGCTTTAATGAAACTTTAATGATTGGGTGACTAGGTAACTAATTATAACTGTTCTTAAATCACTACTCAAACAGACATCCTTATGGCAGAGTCTGATTTGGCATATTATACAAAGCATTAGAAATGGGCACGCCACAACGTGGGTTTTCTGAGAGGGTTAGCACAATTGTTTCAAAAAGTATGCATGTGTGTCCATAATCCCTTCATTTATATGGGGGTTTTAGCAGAAGTATTGTTGGTTCATGATCACAAGTGCAGGCAGTTTCAAAAACAAGCATGCCAACTCTTCTAGAAGACACCAACTGCAGATACTAGAAATATGTAATGTTCCACTCTATTAACCCACAGAATGTAAGCTGGTGGAATGACCCCACAGCTCACTTTCAGTAGCAGAGACGCAAACAGTGACTTGCCACCACAGTTAATTAGAGTCACAGGCTTAGTAAATACCGGAATATGCTATAGAGAAGAACAGAAATGTGAATGATCAAAAAGAAAAAAAAGAAAAAAAAATGAGTGAGAGAATAAAAGCTTGTAAAAGGTCTTCAGGGGTAGGGAGGGAATGAATAAATACTGTATTTTCAAGTTTTCTTCCCTTGGCTTTCACTCTTTATTATTTATTTATGTCCTGCCAGTATTATTTTTATAAATAGCCCAAGGTGGCAAACATGCTTAATATTCCTCCCCCATTCCTCCTCCTCCTCCTCCTCCTCATATTTTCTCCATGACAATAACCTTGAGAAGTGAGTTGGGCTAAAAGAACAGAACTGGCCTAAAGCCACCCAGATGCCTTTCATGTCTAAGGTGGGACTAAAACTCATGGTGTCCTGGTTTCTAGCCTGGAGCCTTAATCGCCACTGATCTTCACAAGGCATATTGTACTTCAATGGTGGATTTGGCTTACAGCGACTAAAAAAAACCACACTTAGTGGTGACTTGGAAATCATTTCTTGTTAAAACACCATCGTGATGTTAGATTTTATGGACACAAATGGAATCTGCACACCAGCCCCTGTCCATCCATAAATTACATCCCTATGTTCTCCCACAAACAAACAAGCACATGGACTGTTTCAATCCAATATTAGCTACCCAGGACCAATCCTATCAAAGTATGGCAATCACCTCACTTTACAACCATCCTGGAGCCCCTAAACTAGCTGTTGTAGAAAACACTATCCCATTGCTAATGCAGAAATGTGATTCAACTGTCTTCTTTATAAGGAAGAGGAAGACCGTCATCTTCTTGATCTTGTTGAAGGAAAACTTTTCATCATAGTTCAGTCCAAGCCGGGAATAAAAAACATGGTGACTGCTCTAGAAAGAAGGTTGCAGTTTATTGAAGAGGAGAGCCAGACAGAAAGATGGCTCTGGAAGAAAAGAGAGAGAGAGCACATGTAGGGAGTGGTTTTTTATACCTTCTTGAGCCTTTTGTTTAGAGTTGTTCCTGTGGCATGAACTTTGACCTGAGTCTGATGTGTCTTTCTGGTATTCTGGTGGTGGTGGGTTAATCCTATTATTTCCCAAAGGTCAATCCTGCTTCCCTGGGGCTGTGTCTGATGACTCTTAGATTTTTAGTGTGAGGGATTGTTGATTCTAGGGATCTTTCTTCCTAATCCCAGTTTCCTGACTCCAGTCTTTCTGACAAGATTATCACATCTCCAATTCTGCAGACTTGGTTTCTGTTTAGGACAGAAACTTGCAGGTGGGCTTGGTTTCTGCTTTTAAAATCCTTTAGGAAAATATATTCTGCCTTTTAAATATTTCAAAAAATATTTCTTTCTCTGTGGGTGGGGCTGACTTCCCACAATCTCAATCACTGGCACCAAAATTTCTTAGGACAACCTTGTAATAGTCCAACTATATACGTGCCAATGATGTTTCTAGAACATAGTTAGAAATATGGTGAGTTCATTCTGATCTTTATCATTTCACAAACATGAATACCAAAGAAGCTGAACCCGTAGAAAAAATAATAGTAGTAGTGTTGTGATAGGGGGGGGGAATGTTGTGCTTGCTCATTATGAAAGCAATTATACAGCACAATCACATCCAGATCAGCTATCCTGAAAATTCACTTTTGTTCCAAACACAGGGAAGCTCATTTCTCTGTTGCAAAGCCAGCAAACAGTGCCCGTATCATTCTATGGAGAAATAGCCAGGAATCAATTATTTGGCCCCATTGATACTTTAATTTTATTATTCCAAAACTGTTAGGGATTGCTGTTAGTTGGATTTATTTTTCTGCTGCAGGGTTAGTAGCATCTGCACAGAGCAAGAAAATAGGGCAGAGGAAAATATTTAAATCTCCCCCTTCTTAAGCTCAAGTACTCTCATCCAGTTTTCCCTTGGTGGTAGGATAAATCTAAGGCTAAATCTAAAAAACTGGAAAATGTGGAAATAGATTTCCTACAGAAAATGCTATTTGGTCCAACCAATTTAACAGGAACTTTGGCAATAGGAATGCCAGGAGAAAATTTCAGGCAGGGAAAACTCTTATCCTCAGTTGCAAAGTCATACAACAAATAGGTAGAGAATGTAGCATAGAGTTTTAGGTGTTCTGGAGACCCAGTTGTTGAATCTGTATAGCAGGGTTTCTCAACCTTGACAATTTTAAGGCATGTGGACTTCAACTCCCAGAATTCCACAGCCAGCATCGCAGCAAAGAGCATTCTGTTTGTGAATAAACAATCATTCCAACCATCTGGCCAAGAAGGCCTATGATGAAAGGTCCAGAGCAATGAAGTAACATTGGAATAAATCACCAACTTCTAGCTTCCTCGTCACTAATTCAAGTTTTGGTCCTTAGGCTGAGCAACTTAATTGTCAGAACCCCTAAATGATTTCCTTACCCGGCATGTTTTGTTTTAATCCTCCATTTCATCATCTGATCCCTAAACATTGGTTTAGTTTAGTTAACATATTGGTTATTTATTTGCCACTGACTTGTAAGCCAGACAGAATAACAGAGTTGTAAGGGATCTTGGAGGTCTTCAAATCCAACCCCCAGCTCAAGTAGGAAACCCTGTACCACTTCAGACAAATGGTTGTCCAGTCTCTTCTTGTCGGAGCGCCTACAACTTCTGGAGGAATGTCATTCCACTGATTAAATGTTCTAACTGTCAGGGAATTTCTCCTTAGTTGTTGGTTGGTTCTCTTCGTAATTAGTTTCCATCCATTGCTTCTTGTCCAGACCAAGAAAGCAATACCACAGGAAAGCTAAAACAATGTTTATTGCAATCGGCTATAATGACACAATCTTGCCATTTTATTGTGTTGTACTTCCTCCAATCTTACACTTCAGTGTACTAGGGAGGTTTCTGTCTGAAACTGCAGCTTCCAAATGTCATTTCATTGCTCTGGACTTAAAACACTGTTTCAGCCCCTTTTGCCTAGGTATCAGTTCCTGCATATTTCCATCAACCATTTTTTTTTCTTTCTGCAAGTTCCCACAGGCAATAAAGCAGCAAATTGCTGAACATTGGAAAGGTGATTATCTGTTGATTCAGGGCAGGAAATGAAATAAGAGACATCAAGTCTTTGGATAGGTTTAATGCATTTTAAATGTAGTTTCACAGCTTGCCATGATAACAGAAAACATAACAGAAGCAGTGACATCACAATGCCTTCCACACTTGCATCCCAATAACCAGAAGCATGAGCATAAAGTGTGGCATTTGATTCGGACAATCAAATCACAGCACATTTCATCACCTCCCCCTCTCAGATCCATGAAGACCCATGACCTTAAATTGCAAATTTTAAAAATCAAGATTGACAAACATCTCAAAACCACTTAAAATCTCTCGAAATTAACCTACCCATTTGCATGATTTCATGACTTTATTGCCCCTGTTTTCTACTACTGTTGATCACTGAAAATAATCTCTCGGTCAAAAAGAAGGATGCTTCAATGATCATCCCCCTTTTCCATTTTTAAATGAAGTTTCTGGCTAAAGTTTTATGGCTCTCATGGTGTTTTCTTTGTGTCTTGAGAATCCTGTACTTTATGCAACTCGCCAGACTTGAATATCTTTAGGGTATGTCAGCAAGAGCTTTGAAAGCTAATCCAGAATTCTACTTTCATATCAGTCCCACCAGCTGTTAACAAAAATGATAAGAGACTGGATTTTTATTATTGTCTGGGCCAACATCCCATAAGGGAGAATTAGAAGAGTTTATACTATCATACTGTATATATGCATATACTACTATATATATAGTACATTTATATCTGTGACAATATAGTATTGTACTATGACAATACAGTGTATTGTCATACTATCCTTTTTTAGATATTTTAAATCATTCTGCGCACTCTTTTACACTGGAGAAGTGTGAAATACAGTAAGTTGTCCTGAGCAAGTCAGTGTTACGTATATCTGTTTAAAATAAAGTCTCATTCAATTCAGTTGGATTCATTCTGGGAAAATGAAATTGAACCAAAAGGGCTGTGTAGTA